GGGCTCGGTGCGAGGAACTCCACCCCCACTGGCCTCCCTCAGCCTGGCCTACTGCTCCTCACTCAAGGTGAGCCTACCATCCCCTTCCTTCCTCACCAGGGCTGGAAGCTGGGGGAGCTGCCTGGTGTTTGTATCCAAGGAATAATAGTTAGAACTGAACTTGGGAACCGGTCTGGGACAGGGAAGGAGCCTAGACCAAGACAGCATGGTCCCCAGCACTCTTGGCAGCTCCCCACTGTGGGCTCAGGCGAGGGGAGGTCCAAGAGGCCAGGGTGGCCCAGCCCAGGAGGGGACTACTACAGGCTGCAGAGGGTGCTGTGGGCAGGTGTTCCAGAGGCAAGGAAGCCTGGTGAAAGGAGGTGACAGAACAGAGCCCTATGGGGAAGGGACACTGAGGTTACCCAGAAGAGGTCTCTCAGGCAGGGCCTGAAGGAACTAATGTGATGTGGGAGTAGCAGGGTCACTTTTGGGCTGAAGCCGTTTATTCTGATAGGGCTCCACGCTGTGCCTCTGGGTGGCACCCCTGCCTTGGCAGTGTCGGTCTCCCTCAGTGGGTTTTCCTCTAGTCTTCCAGTGAGACCAGGGGATTCCCAACCTGAAGACCACTGTGACCTTTTCCCCACAAGCACCTCTCTTCCTGGGCCTTCCCCCCCTCTTCCTTGTCCCTCTTCGTGTCTCTCAGCTAACCTCTCTGGAGCCTCACCCTCTTGTCTCCATCTCTCTACACACCAGTCCTGTCCTCAGCCCTTAGCTCTGCTCCCCTAGCCACGACTGCTTCTGCCAGGTGGCAGCCCTTCGCCCACCACGACCCCACAGTTCATGTCAAAGCCAAAGGAAGCGTTCTGATTGTGTCTGTTGGGCCAGATGGCTACCTCTAGTCCAGCAAGCTGTGGGCAGAGGGCAGCTTCAGCCCACCCTTTCAGTGGGAACTGGGGACACAATCTGGGCAGATACCTTAGAAATTTCCACCCGCATCTTTCCTGCCCCGGCCAACCCAGGCCTTTGTCTCCCAGCAAACTCTCCCTGGCGTCCTACTCGCCAGGGCCCACTCTGTCCTCTCTGCTTTTTCACAGCACAGGGACATTGTTGCTTCCCTCCGGGGACCTCCCTATTGCCTGTGGGGCCAGAACCTTGGGCAGAACCTCCCTAGTGACCCTCGCCAAGCCAGGTGTGACACAGAACCTCCCTAGTGACACAAGCACAAGCCACCTCTCCATTGCTCTCTCCCTTCACTTTCCTCCTAGGACACCTCAGTGTTCTCCCTGATCCGAGTGCTGGGCCCAAGTCTCAGGGTGCTAGACTTATCCTCTTGTGTGGCCCTCACCAACCGGACCCTGCAGGCCATCTGCACCTACCTCACTCCCCTCTCAGTCCTGCGCCTGGCCTGGTGCAAGGAGCTCTGTGACTGGGGGCTTCTGGGACTGGGGGAACCAAGTGAGGAGCCAGCACAGGGATCCCAGGTGTGGAACCCTCAAGGTCATGAAGGGTGGGGTGGTCCCTGGGTTCACCTGCTGTCCTGCCCCTCCTAAGTCTCTTTCTCGGAACACTGGAGGGCCAAACTCAGGAGGGAGGAACCTGAGAAGTGGACGCCTCTTCCCACAGCCACACCCAGAGCTGGAGCATCAGGCCTTGGGCCCCAAGGCAGCCCCTTCTCCCCAGCCTCGGGGCCCCTCCCTTCTCATGCTGCGGGCCCTGCAGGAGTTGGACCTCACAGCCTGCAGCAAGCTGACTGACGCCAGCTTGGCAAAGGTGTGGGGCTGGGGGGGTGGGGAGGCTGAGGGGCCTGGGGCTGGAGCCGGGGGCCTGGGTTGACCCACTTTTTGCTTGGAAAAAGTTTCTCATTGGCTTCTGCCGCCTGTGGCCTCTCCTTTGGCTGTGGGTGGGGGAACCTAGAAGAGCCCCTGGGCCCTGGGCTCCAGTACTATACAACACCCCATCCTGACACCTCCTCATCTTTGCAGGTGCTCCAATTCCCCCAGCTGAGGCACTTGTCATTGAGCCTGTTGCCAGCACTCACAGACAAGGGCTTGGTGGCTGTGGCCAGAGGCTGTCCTAGCCTGGAGTACTTGGCGCTGAGTCACTGTGGCCTCCTCAGCGATGAGGGCTGGGCCCAGGCAGCCAGCTCCTGGCCGAGGCTGCAGCACCTCAACCTGTCCAGCTGCAGTCAGCTCACAGAGCAGTGAGTGTGTCCGATGACACCACAGTGCAGGGGCTGGGCTGGGGCTCCACACTGGGCCAGGCACCCACACAGTGACCTCCCTGCAGAACGCTGGATTCCATTGGGCAGGCATGCAAGCAGATCCAGATGTTAGATGTCGCCATGTGCCCTGGTATTAGCATGGCTGCCATCAGGCGGTTCCAAGCCCAACTGCCCCAGGCAGCCTGCATCCAGTCACGCTTCGTGGGAGGGGCTGACCTGACCCTAACACTCTGAGACTGACCAGGTGGGTAAGCAGCCCCTGTTGCTCAGCCTCCACAGTCCCTAGCCCTGGCTTTTGGACCTGGAGTTTGATTCCTGTTTCCCTCTGCTAGAGCCCCTTCCCCAAGATGTACATACCTTTGTTAGGCCTGGAGGTGGGAATAATCCAAGGAAGCCCAGGGTGCTTCCTACCCCAGAACCTGGCAAGGGCTTCTTTCCAGCTCCATGTGGCTGCCACAGGCACCTGGAAGTGTCAGCTCCTGTTCTGCTGGCCAAGCCTGGGTCCGGAAGCACCAAGCCCATAGGTGGCAGGGTCTGGTGCTGGGGAAGAGCAGACCACATGCACCTCACCCTACCCACCTGAAGCTTGTGCCCCACCTTGCTCCCTACGGGAGCTCCTCTAGTCCCCCCACCAGCACTGAACTTTAGCAGCCAAGCCAGCCTTTGTTGTAAACCCAAACAAGATTAAAAGTTCCAGATTTTACCTCCTTATCTGAAGTTCTCAGACTGAAGAGCCCCTCCCTTCCCCTCCCCACCTCAGTTGAAGCAGCCCAGACCAACCCAGGGATGACGGGAGAAACACAAAGCCCCACAGAGTGGGAGACTCCAAAAGCCCAGCATGAGCTCCCAGGCAGGTCCTGCAGCAAAGGGACATCTGCGTGCACTCAGCCCAGCAAGACCTAGGAACACACTGATTAATAATGCCAGAGTCCATGGGGTTGTCTTCAGAATGAAAGAGGATAGCGAATGGCATCTCTGGGTAGGAAGGGGCATTAGAGGTCCTCTAGTCCAACCTCTTAAACTACCAGTGAATTTTCAACAGCAGCTCTAAGAATGTCTCTGGCCCTCCATATGTCCACCTACACTTTGTCCATCTGTCCATCAGTTCTAGGAGCAGCCAGCCAGGAGCGGCTGCCTGAGTGCCTGCTTCATGTGGGGATTCAGAAGGGTCGAAGCCTGCCCAGTCTCTGGGCCAACTGGGGAGGTGAATTGGCTAGCAGGCAGGGACAGCCCAGTGTGTGGGTGTGCACCAATGAAAAACTGCACCTGGGACCAGGAGCCCAGGAGAGCAATTGGACTTAGCCTGGGAGGTCAAGGAAGGTCTTGAGGCCAGAAAAAAATTAGCAGAAGAGAGAAGAGGGCAGCCAGGCAGAAGGGACTGGAAGGTGCATGTGGCAGGCCAGAGCTGGTGCTGGAGGCGGGAGGGTCCAGGCCCCAACAGAGTGAGGGAGGGGGTCAGTATGGACCAAGCACCGGGAACCCTGCAAGCCACAGGCACCCTGTTGGAAGATTTAAACTACATCTGCAGTCCATCTCAACTCTGTCCATCATGGCACAGTGACCATCGCCCCCTGGACAATAGGGAAATGCTGAAAAATGCAGGGCGGGGGTGGTGTGTGTGCTCAGATCAGCTTCACGATTGAGAAAGCTGCCGTGGTGGCTGGTGTTGAAAGGACTGGAGGACTGGAGGGGGAAGACTGGAGGCAGGAAGTCAGGAGGTCCCTGTCAAGACGACGGTGGCCCACACAAGGGCCCAGACCATTGAGAAGGAATACTGGGGGGCTTAACTGCATCTGGGATCCCCACGCTCATTTCCACCTTGAACTCAACTGCAGACTATTCCAAGCATGGTGGGGAGTCTCTGGTTACCTGAGTCAGAAGCATAGACGGGGGAAGGGAAGCTCAGCATTTCTCCAAAGGAAATGTCATTTCATCACTTTTCAAGGTAACGCGTTGATGATTAAATTTGTTATAAAAGATATTTGAGGAGGCGATGGGAAGGAGGTAGCAAGAGACGTGGAAAAGGAGGTCAGAGAGTGGTGGTAGCTTTCAGCTTGTCCTGTGCTCCTCTTTGGAGGAGGGGAGGGTGTGTTCCTCTTTGCCCCAGAGACTTAGGGTCCATGACCTCTGAGTGTGACCTCCAGCTGGGCCGAATACCCCAAGCCAATTCTGACCCCAGGGGCTCTGGCCTGCCTGTGGCCCCCATCCCACCCTCCTGCAGTGGGTTTTAATTAGAATTCAGGCTTCCTTCACCAAGTTCCCTCTCATCAGACTATTCTCCCACCACTTGATGTCTTCTGGAATTCTAAGTCTGCCCTCGGCAAAAAGCAGGCCCAGCTGTATGTCTCCCCTCTCTGGCCTCTAACCAGACGGCCTCCAAGTCCCTCAAAGGACTCATGGCAGGCCAAGCAGCTTTCTCGACTGCGCTCTGCCTATCAGGAGCCTCGAAACAGCTCCCCAACTAGACACCTGTTAATGCTGCCCAGGAAGGCGTCCACTTGGGGTGATGCCTCCTGCCCTGCTGCTTCTCCCTCACCCAGCTAATAGCACCAGCCCGCCTTTGGTTGGTGCCCCCCATACACAGGCCACCCCCTCTGCAGACCCAGCATTGAGGGGAGCCGAGGACTCACCCTGAGAAAGGACAACAGTGCCCCCCTCCAGAACACCAGCCCCTCAGCTATAGCTGCTCAGGTTTGTGGCCCCAAGCTGTGGCCCTGGCCTGATGCCCCACATCTCATTCGCCAGCTAAGTGTGAAGGCAGGCGTGGCCTACTGTGTGCACAGCTGGCTGGACACATACCCAAGAGCCAAACAGACTTTATTTCTGCTGCAGACTCTGCTGATCAGGGTGTCTGCATTTCTCCACCCTTCACCCTTCATGGCCACCACAGTGGCAGCAGCCGTTGCCCTTGGCCAACCTGTCAAGGTTCAGCGATGCTGCAGTCATAGCAAAAGTTGAAGTTGGTGGGGGGCGGGGGGATAGGGGGTGGCTGCTCAGGAATGGGCACATTCTCCAGCTCCAGCAAGCGCAACTTGGTCTCCATGGTCAGCAGCTGCTCCAGGTCTAGCCGTGTCTGCTCACTGCCCATGGGACTGCCCAGCAGGGTGCTCAGCCCATCTGTCCAAAGGTGGAACTGGGGGCGGAGCCAGCGCCATTAGGACCTGCCAGTCTCTTCCCTTGCCCATCTGCCCACATCAGCTCTGCCTGCCCAGACAGACACTCACCTCCCGTTTGGAGGGGGCAATGAAGTTGAGGTACGCCTCCTCCTCCCCATGGTCGTAGCACACTGAGAAAGCTAACTCGTAGAGGTCCTGGGGAGGCAAGGGAACCAGGAGCACTGAGCAGGGGGCTGGGCAGGGCAGGTGGGAAAGAGCCCAAGCCCCCACTGGCCTCACCTTGTTCTGCTTCACGGAGCCCTTGTCCCGGACGTGCGGGCAGTCCCTGCCAGTCAGTAGTGCCCTGATGTCAGCCACAGGGACTGTGGGAAGAAGCTGGGCTGACCACTGGGGCCCCAGGTATCCCGAGGCATGGGTGGTCTGGAAAAGCGGGTGTCCTACCCCTGCTCCTGCCCTCCTTACGCTGCTCTGTGAGGCTCTCAAGGGCAGGTGAACTGGCACCATCCTCCACGTCCCCATACTGCAGCACCTTGTGGTTGGGGGACAGGCAGCAGAACCATAGCTTGTCTGGGCAGCAAGGGGAAGAGGGAAGGAAAGATAAGAGGGGCCCTGGCCCCAAGCCAGCCGCCCTCTGTGCCCCTGCCCACTCAACAACCCTGGCGCCTCCGGCTGCTGATCTTGCGGAAGAGCGTCCCCTCACAGAGGCGGAGCAAACGCTGCTGGCGAATCAGGCCCAGGAGCTCAGGCTTCAGCTTCTCCCGAAGCTCCCTGGTTGCGGGAAGAAGGGTTGCTGACAGGACTGACCTGGGGCAAGGCCCATGGGTCACCAGGGAAAGTGGGGCCTAGGACTGGACCCATCACTGCCACTCACAGTATGGGAGGGGCCAGCGTGCCCTCCTGATGCAGGCGCTCTGTCTGCCTCAGTCGCAGCACCTCCCCGTAGTTGAGCGCGTTCACCTTGGTTCGGAAGAGCTCTAGGGAGCTGGGCTTCAGGGCCAGCGTGCGGGCCAGCTGCTCCCGGACCACTTGCATGACCTGTGGCCACCCCAGGCTCAGTTCAGGGTCTGAGCTCTGGGCATCCCCCGGCACAGCCCCCTTCCCTGGCCGGCCGAGGCCTCCCAGCTCCCACCCACCCACCTTGTCAAAGTCCTCCTGTGTGGCCCGCATCTCCTTCCAGGTCTTATTCAGCAGCTGGATGCTCACACAGAAGAGCTCATGGAAGCTCTGGTCTTGGCCGAAGAACATGGGTGAAAAGTCCTGGGCCGTTTCGGAGCCTGGAGCAGGGGGGCAGGAGGGGCTCAGGGAGAAAGTATGTGAAGCCCCTGGCCCTCTCTGCCCTTCCGTCCCCTGTTCCCAGACACACTGCCCAGTCCCACTCACAGGGCTCCCCAACGTGGAGCAGCTCGCACAGCAGCACGGTCAGCTGGATACTGCTCCGGGCAAAGGGGCACTCGTGCTTGTCCTCGCGACTGCTGTTCTCCAACACAAACTGGGGTGGTGGCAGTAGAGTATGGGGCGGGGAGTCACAGCTCAGCCCATGGGGACCCTCACAGGCGGGCATCCTGCTCTGCCCACCCCCTCCCCAACACTGACCCGGCTGTAGGCATTGGGTGCGTGTCTGGAGAAGTAGAGCATGTTGTCCAGGGCCAGCAGGCCGGGGGGCACGCGCTCTAGGTCTTGCGCAGGGTTGCTATTCTAAAGGAAGGGGGACAGGCAGCTGACGCAGGGCCCCCGCCCTCTGGAAAAACAGCAGTCCTGGGTTGAGGCACGGGTGAGGAGCTCAGGGAGGGTCACTCACCGAGAAGCCCAGTTTGCGGAACTCACGGGCACAGAGGGAACGGCGACGGTCAGCACTTAGCCCAGCACTGGGGGACTCCCCTTCTGGTTCAAAGGCAGCCTGGCGCAGGGCCTGCAGCTGCTCCCGCTGCTCCTGGGGTCACCATTTGGGGGTGGGGAGGAGTCACATCAGATTCAAGACCAACCTCCAGCTGCCCCCAGCCTGTGTACCCCAAAGGCACCCACCCACCTGGCTGTAGGGGTCCAGTGGCATCCGCATGCGCGGCTCCAGCAGCCCCAGTGTAAGGGACTGCAGCACGTACAAGTGGTGAGCCATCTCGTCACCCATTGGCACTGCACTGTGGATGATGTTCTGGAGGACGGCCAGTCCATGAGTGTGAGCTTGGGCTCACTGGGAGAGGAGGAATAGGGAGGGGTCCACCTGGCCCAGTGCTTCATACCTTATAGATGAACGGGCGAAGGTTTCTCTGCCACAGTTTGTCAAGCATTTGCTGAGGGTGGGTGGGAAGGGGGCTTAGATAATGTGACCATACCATGAGCACTGACTCTGTAGGCCCAGGGCGGAGCACAGTGCTCACCAGCTCCTGCTCCTCCTCTACCTCCCAGATGGACACCCACCTTACGGTCAGTGGGGCTGGCCCCCTGCAGCAAGGCTGTCAGCAGTGCCATGGCCTTGGTTTGCAGCTGCTGGTTCATCCTGGGACAAGAAGAGGGCTTAATGGACCATCCAGGATCTGGCTGTGCTCCCCTCATCTGTACACCACCCCAAGAGACTTACACCTGTAGGTGCACCAGCAGCCTATCCAGTGTAACCTCATTTTTGACCAGCTGGCCCAGGACAGGGCTGCTTAAGGTCACACTCTCCAGCAACCTGAGGGCCAGGGGCTGCACAGATGCATCCATCAGGTTCATGTTCACATAGCACACCACCTGTAATAGGGATAGGGGCTGTCACCACCTGACCAGCACGGATGGCCAGATTCTAACACCACCCCACTGCCCCAACTTGCTGTCCCTAGGAAAGCCTACCCACCTTCCTAACAAAAGGGATAGTGAGCGTCTCCCAGGACACCACTCCATGTTCCATGAGCTCCAAGAAGGCCTGCAGTGCAAGGGCCAGCACCTCCCCTAGGCTGGGGGGACATCTGGGGCTGAGCAGGGCCCGCATCAGGACCCCCAGCCCCACCACGTCCGCCACCAACCACAGCCCAATGCTCACTCGTCCCCTTCCTCAATGATGGTGCCTAGCCTCTTTAGCCCATCACGGCTGATGACCTCCTGGGCAAAGGTCACGTCGGGGGCCAGCAGGGCAAGGTGCTGCAGGGCTTCTCGGCGCCCCTCACGACTCCCGCTCTGCAGCCTACCCAACAGCTGCTCGGCCTCAAGGTCCTGGCAGGGGCAGGAGCAGAAGCAAAGGTGAATGAGGAGGCTGGGTGGAGGTGCGGAGACCAGGGTGTCCACCAGGTGGAACACTGCAGGGATGTGACTGGAGCCTCTAGACCTGGGGCAGAGGCATAGGGGGACAGAAAGGAAGCATGGCAGTGGGGCAGGGAATGAGGGTGGGGCCAGGAGGGGCTTTACTGGGGCAGTGCTGAGGCACAGGATGCTGCCATTCTTGATCTCTGAGCGGTTCTGGAGAAGACAGCAGAAAAGGGAGAGAGAAGTCAGGAAGGGCCCTGAGGGTTGGTTAACTGGGGTTGTAAACAAGATAGGATTGGGAACTCGGTGAAAGATCACATTCCAGTAGGGTGAGGAGTGGGAGGAATCAGGGCCAGGAATTAGGTCTGAAGAGGAGCGGGCACTCACATTCTCAGTGATGTATCTCCCGTGTCCATCGGCAAACTGCAGGGCATAGCGTTCGGAATGAGCCAGGCTCCACCTGTAGGCAGAGGAGGCTCAGTGAGGCAGGCATGGCGCGCCCCCTCCCTCCCGCCTTTCCCCCACCCCCTGGCCTGACAGGCCGTCACTCACGCGTCGCACACCTCCTTCACCACAGCGGCCAGGGGCTTTGCCTGCAAGTGAAGAGGTCACTCACGAGGCCAGGAGTGGGGAGGAGTTGGGGAAGAACCTGGGGAAGGGGTAGGGAGGGCTGTTCTGAGGGAAAGGGGGAGACCCAGAGGTGGGCTAGGGTGGATGTTGGCCGGACTGGCCGGGTGACCTGGTCCAACTGGATGAGCTGCGGGATGGCATCACGCTTCTGAACGGCGATCTTCACCACGTCCCTTGGGGGCGCCATGGTCAAGCTGGGGCGGGGCGCCTTTGCCTTCTAAACCGTCGTGCAACCTCCTGCGGAGGGCACACCTGGTCTGGGGCCCTGGGGACAATGAGGGTGTCCCTCTGTAGCCTGATGCCGGTAGCCCGCACACACTGCTCAGGCTCCCACACCTGGCCAGGCGCTCCGTCCTTCCCAAGGGAGCCGAGGCCAGTTCCGGGTTGGCGTCCCGGAGGTAGGAGGACGGCGCTTGCCCCGCCCCGCCCTGAAGAGGAGGCCCCGCCCCACCCCAAGGTGAGGCAGGTGGGGGAAGGGAGGGAGGGCTGCCAGCGCTGCCACACCTCTGGTTCCAGCAAGGTGACCCACCCAATCCCACCGCCAGCAATCCAGCAGTCCCAGGGAGGCTCCCCTCCCCAAAAGAACCAGACCAGAGATAGCCTTAGGCATGATCTTTATTCACTTCGACACTGTACAAATATTACAACTTCCTTTTGCTGCAAAAAGTATAAAAATAATCTTTATATAGGAATCCATTCATTACGGCAAATCTTTCTAAATCTCCGCAAATGGCTCTAAATGAGGGTAAATGAATAGACAGGGAGGGACTATGGGGCAGCAGGAGTTTGGGCCAATCCTTGGGGACTCACCTGCCCATACTCCTAGCTAGAGACCTCAGTTTCTTCCTGTTTGCACCCCCTACCACCACCTACACGTTGTCAGGGCTAAGGGTCAGGCAGAAGGGGGACAGACAAGACCAGGAGCTTTAGGGTCAAGGAAGGGGTGGGGAGAAGCGAAGTAGCCTAGAAGTGGTGCTGGCCAATGGTCAACTCCACCCCAGCTTCTCTCCTGGGAGGGGGAGGGGATAGCAGGAACCAGGCAGTGGGGTTGGACAAGCTGCTCTATGGAGTTTACTGGGTCCTCATTCTGTGACACTGGGTGGCAGCAGAGCCTGGGCTCAGAGAGGGGGCAGGGAGGACACAAGATGGGGGAAGGCTCCAGAAAAGGAGAGGCAAATATTTTGGCGCCACCACGGAGGGAGCTGAGCCCCTTTCTCCTGCTCTCCCAGCACAATACAGGTGCTGGTGCAAGAGTGGGAGCTGCGGCCGGAACTAAAGTGAGGGAAGGCTGGGGAAGCCAGGAGTCTGTGGCTCTCAAGCTGTGGAGGGGTGAGGTGTGGAGGTCCCCCAGCAGCCCTCAGGTTAGACAGTCTGTGTCCCAGCCACACAGGGCGTCCCCATCAGTCAGAGGTTGAGAACAGGCACGTCAAAGAGGTCACAGACACCTTCACTCTCATCCAGGTTGTAGATGTAATCGTGGTCTCCGGGGGGTGGAGAAAGGCGGAGAAGGGGGGCAAACACTGCGGAGAGTACCAGACTGAGGCCTGGGGCCAGGGCCCTACCACACAGCCACCCAACCCCATCCACACCCACCCCCCACCTCCCTCGGCCACCCACCTTCTGAGGTCATCAGCTCCTCCAGCAGCTCCGAGCTCATGCACTCTGCGGATAGAGAAAGAGCTAGTTACATTTCTGGCTCCTGCTTCTCTACCCACCAGAACCCATGGAGGGAAACTCCCAATCAGGAGCCTTTACACTTTGTCCAGGCACCAACCACAAACATAGGCCCTTACAGCAAGAAAACCACTGTACAACCCAACAAGCTGTGCCCCATACCCTAGTCCTAAGGAGAAACATAGCCCTACCTCGTGTGGGATCAAAGATTTCTGACAGCTCTTTGGGGAGTTCCAGAACTGAAAGACAAGAACACCATGCTCAAGGGCACAGAGGTCCAGCCCAGTCCCACTCTAGCCCCCAACCTCCTCAGATCCTGTAACACCCACCCTGGGGCTCCACACACTAAAGAGATGGAGGCCCTGCCCCCAAGCCAAATTGGCACTGTCTGTCAATCACCCTTGCTGACCCAAATGCCTCAGTGCTGAGCCCAGGGTACCAAAGGTTCATTATGGATGGTACAGCCCTTCTGACTCAGGAGTGCTGCAGAAGAGCAAGCAGAACCCTTCCTTTCTGAGCTCAGCACGCATACCCTGCGTGATGGAGGATGCCCTGAGTGACAGAGGATGCCCTGCCTGGAGAATGCCCTGTTCACCCCCACCCTTACTGGGCACTTCCTCAGTGGCAGGCTCAAACACCACATCTGAGCAGGGTTACCTGGCAGAGGAGGAGGCAGACACTTCAACAGGGGCTAGTGCTATAGAGTGATAGCTCTGCTACAAAGGTCTGACTGGGAGGGTGCGCATGTAAAGCAGGAAAAAATGAAGCTGGAGAGGGGTGCTAGGGCTGGATCAAAACAGATGTCCTATGCTAGGCTACGAGGCTCTGGTTTTATCCAGCAGGCCTTAGGAAGCCATTAAAGGTACTTTTGTAAAGAGAAATGCCAGGCAGGCTGTGCTTCAGATAGATCCTTGTTGACTGGAGTAATGAAGAGGATGCTGAAGAATTTACACAAGGGGTGGCTGGCAGATCCTGAGTGCTGAGGACAGGAGAGATGTTTGGAACAGAACTCACTTCGCAGATGTGATGTGGGAGAAGAAGGAGGGAGAAAGAGCTAGGACTGGAAAAGCAAATAGAGTTGAGAACACATGGGAATGAAGAGCCCACTGGATGTACGGAAGAAGGCACCAGGACACAAGTGTGGGTTGGGGTCCAGGTGAAAGACCTGAGCAAGATGGAGGTTAGGGGTTCATCTAGCTCTGTGCAGGTGTGGCATGGGACAGAGACCTAGGAAGTTTCAATATTTAAGGAAGCACCAGGAAGGGGTTAGAAGGGAAGCCAGTGAGAGAAGAGCCAAGATCTGGCATCATTAAAGCCAAAGGAGAAAAAAGCATCAGTACAAAGCAAGAGACCTTCAGAGCACAACAGCCTGGAAACCCGCTGGGGTTGGCAGTCAGGGTTGGGCAACTTATCAAGAGAATGGAATGTGGGGGAGGGGGTGTGGGGGTCCTGACTATTGCAAGCAGGGGGTGACTAGGAGACCAAGACATAAAGTGGAGTGGAGATGACTTTCTCAGAGTCCAGACAGAGAGGAGATAGGGAGAGTAGGAGAAGGAGATAGAAGGGACAAAGCATCGTGTTTAGTGAGGTGCCTCCAGGCTGGGTAGGAGGAGTCCTGGGAAAAGCAAACACTTGAGTTGCCAGATGGAGATGGGACTCCAGCGAGATAATGCTGCCTCTCCCAAGAAGGTGCTGCAGTCTTTGGAGGCTGAGGGCCAACCACAGCCCCTTCCCTGAGAGAGTGCTTTCGCCTTCCTGAGACCCGAGTCTAAGGGTGGCAGGCAGGGTTTGAGGCAGGGCCAGGGAATTTTGTGACAGCCCAGTAAGGGGGACAAACAGGCACCAGCACTAAATCTGGAGACCAAGCTCCCCACTCCAGCTGGCACAGCTCTGGTCTAGGCAAGGTGGACGGCAAGGGCTGGCCCTTGTGCTGGCCAGCTCTGGATGAGAAGTTAGGACAGCTGAATTTCCAGCCCCAGTTGTTTTTGACCTCAGACTGGCTAAGGCTGGGTTCTCCCTGCTCCCAATGGGACAAGTACTCACCGCCTGTGGGATCTGCCTTCATGGGCTCAAAGGAGGTAGAAGGGTTGGGTCCAGATGAACTGCTATTGCTGCTGCTGCTGCTGCTGCTGCTACTGCTGCTGCTGTCCAGCAGAGCAGAAGACTGCAGTGGCCGGGTGTCCAGTGCTGTCGGGCCCAGTGGGAGTGAGCTGAGCTCACCACTGTCCTTGCTATCGGTTTCAGGGCCGCCAATCACTGCAACCACATGCCCCGAACCCAGTCACTTGGGGGCAGGAAGTGGGATATAAAGCTGGCTGTGACAGAACACACGGCCAGGATGCCTACAGCCCTGGCTCCCAGGCCCTAGGAGAGTAAGGCACTGCCAGTCACCCTTGAAGAGGCGACCTGGAAATGAGGCACTAAAGGAGACAGGGGCATGAGGCCTGTAAGAGCAGGGGGCTCATGGACAACATGGATGCTGTGACCACCCTTCAAGAAGAGCTACTGGGGCAAGTGAAACATATGTGGATCTGGAGGAGAACTGCTACCACTAATGCCCCTTCACTTAGTCAGAGATTCTCTGTTAAAAAGGGTTCCCCTATAACAGTAAGGGAAGGTCAGCTGGAGGCCAGAAAAAGGACAACCCCCATAGGGTCTCTGCCAGCTCCAAGTATAGCATCCCACAACCCAGAGCTATTGCCCCTTGGGTCCCAGAGATCTCTGTCACCAGATGCTCGTCACATCTCACCTGTGATCTCAGCTGCTGGACTGGCCATCCCTTGGGCTTCAGTGCTGCCAGGGATACAGGTGCTGGTCGTCGCCTGGGGACTGCTTGGGTGTGAGGCATCCTGGGGCAGGACCACAGCAGGTTTGGGGAGAGGTGGAGGAGTAGAGACAGCAGGTGGGCTCTGGAGCAGATCTTCAGGTGGTGGCACGGGCACCGCCACAGGTGGTGAGCTCCATGCCTCCTTGTTCACCAGCAGCACCTCAATGGGCCCACTCACGCTCTTCAAATGAATCTGGTACTTCTTCTGCCCATTGAGACCCTGGGGGTGTGGGACAAAGGACAGAGGGCAGGTGGAACTAAAAGCAGGTTTGGCTCCTGCCTGACATGAGCCACAGTGTCCTCTCCCACTCCAGGCTGCCCGTCCTCCTAGATAACCCAAAAGCTCAGGCCTCCCCCCTACCCACCCCACCCTGGACTTATCAAGCTCCACAGCCAGCATCCACCCTCAGCCAACCCTGCCTGCCTGAGATGAGCACCCACCTCTGGGATGGGCACCTCCAGGCTGGTGCCAGATGGAGCCCGGATGGCCAGAAGGGTGTCTCCTAGAATATTGAGGAGGATGGGTCAGAGCCCAGGGGCTCAATCTGAGCTGGGAATGGGGGTTCCCATCCCTTGAGGCAAGGAAGGACATTATGGTGTTTGAGGGCCCAGACGGTAGGCCTCACCCATCCCCCACAGTGGCATGGGCAGAGAACTAGAGCCTTTCTCCTTCCAAGAACCAGGGGTCTATATGCAGAAAACACAGATTCAAACATGTGGAGCAAAAGACTGCTAACCGTGGGCAACACATATTCTCAGCTGAGGGCTGCTCTCTAGGTGTAGGTGTTCTGGCCAAGGCCAACATCCCTCCCCCAAGCCCGGTCTAAGGGATGAAAGATGGAGGAGGGGCTGTTCCTATATCCATAACACAACTAAACTAACTGCAGGCTGGAAGTGGGCATCATTGCCC